TATTATTATTATTATTATTATTATTATTATTATTATTATTATTATTACTATTATTTCCCTCCTTGGACCCATCTCTCCGCTTTCCCTGAACAGATCATCTTTGCAGATGAGTGCACAGAAGCCGAGGGCCGTCACTGGCACATGCGCCATTTCTGCTGCTTTGAGTGTGAGGAGGCCCTGGGTGGGCAACGATACATCATGCGCCAACGTCGCCCCTATTGCTGCCGTTGTTATGAGAGCCTTTATGCAGAATATTGCGATGCATGCGGGGAGCACATTGGTAAGACCACCTGGCGCCCGGAGAATGGGAGGCCTGGATTCTACCTGCATTTCTTAAAGTGTGATCCTGGGACCCCTGGGGGTCCCCTAAGAATCTCTCAGGGATTAGCAAACTCAAAATTATTTGCCAGCCTATGTCAAAAAATAATATATAAGTAGCCTTCGAGTTACAAGAGTTTGTTTGGTGACCGTTGCAAGTTGTAATGGCACTGGAAAAAATGACACGATCATTTTTCACACGAGCGTTGTAGCCTCCTTTAGTCACATGATCAAAATTCAGACATTTGGCAACTGACTCATATTTATGATTGTTGCAGCATCCCAGAGTCACGTGACCACTTTATGCAACCTTCTGACAAGCAAAGTCAATGGGGAAGCCAGATTTACTTAACAACTCTGTTACTACTGGTAACTTAACCACTGCAGTGACTTGCATAACAACTGTGGTGAGGAAGGTCATAAAATGGAGCTAAATTCACTTAACAATTGTCTCGCTTAGCAACAGAAATTTGGGATTCAATTCTGGTCATAAGTCGAGAACTATCTGTAGGGTTAAAATCCCATCCAACAACCGTGAGAAGCAGTGGTGGCAGTGAATGCATCCATTTTAATTTTTATAATACAATAAATATTGGTAAAGTTATCATATAGTGAGCTATCCATTGATGAATTATCTTACAAGCAAAAGCTCTTTTGGGGTCCTCCATGATTTTTAAAAGGGGTAAGGAGTCTGGAAGAAAAAAGGTTAAAAAGCACTGGGCTATTAGGCAAGATAAGGCTCCTGCAGTCTTCTAAAAGCCCACATTTTCTTCTTCAAGTTTCGTCTGAATTCCCAGCCTTGAAGCTGTGATGAAGTTGTGAAGATACATTTATGATCAGTACTGAAAGTGGAACTATTGGTTACCTCCAGAATCCCATATCCTACCAAGTTGTAAGATAATACACATTGTGTGAATCATGCTGGTTTATAGTGCCATACATCATGGTTCAATGCAGTATGAGAAACCAGGAAATAAGGACTTCTTTAACAAATCATGGTTAATAATCAAGCCATATTGTGAGCATGTTGTGTAAAGCTCGGATGTTTATTGCTCATTTATATCAACTGGAGCTTCCACAATATGGAAGGTTTCCTACAAGTCTTGCTTAGTGCCATCCTAAAATACAGTCAGGGATTTGGTGTAATATGAATGAATACATGCAAAGCTGGCACGGGCCAGAAATTTTATTTGGGCATTAGTTATTCAATTTTCAGACTTAGGATTTAGTTTTGTTTGCAAGAATAATAGACAGGTCTAGATCCAAGACATGGAGGGAAGGTATTCTTTCATGATTGGTTTTCTAACAAGGGTGCAAAGATATCTGACTGCTGTTTCCTAAATGAATCTAAGTTCTCAGTGTTGGCTTTGGCAGTGCTTTAAATGAGGCAAGATAAAAGCTTTTTCCAGAACAGGGCCTCAATGCCAGCCCTCCAGCCTTTTGAGAATGCCTTTTACCATTTAAAAAGAGAGCAGCTGCTCCATTCTCTTTGCACAATCTAGATACAGAAGGATATGTTCCCAAAGAAGTTGTGGGAGCTTCATCATTGGAAGCTTTCAAGAAGAGAACTGGACTGCCATCTGTCAAAAATGGTGTAGGGTCTGCTTGGGCAGGGGTTGGACTAGATGACCTACAAGGTCCCTTCCAACTCTTGTTAATCTGTATCGACCTTCAGCATTTTGTAGATGGGATAGATCACCTTTGTTGGCAAGAGCAGATGACCTTCCAGCTTTTGTGGGTTTTGAAAGAAAGTGCTTAAACCCACCCAATGGTTTGGCCTTGTTCCTCCCTTGCAGGAATTGACCAGGGCCAGATGACTTACGAGGGCCAGCACTGGCACGCCACCGATGCCTGTTTCAGCTGCTCCCGTTGCCAGCAACCCCTGCTGGGGAAGCCTTTCCTGCCCAAGCAGGGTCAGATCTTCTGCTCCCGGGCCTGCAGCCTTGGCGAAGACCCCAACGGCTCGGATTCCTGTGACTCTGCCTTGCAAAGCACCCGTCCTCAGGACGTCCGGAGGACCAGCTGGCAGCAGCGCCGAGTTCAGTCCCAGGGCACGTCACCCTCCTCCATCACCCGGTCCGTTTCCTTTGCGGGGCAGACGGTACCAGCAGACTCCACACCAAGGATCCGAAGGAGCTGGAGCGGGGCGCCTGGGGATGAGGACGAGGAGGTGCCCACGGAAATGGAAGAGCTCTCCGATCCAGACAGCAATGGTTCTGGCTACAGCCAAAGTTGTGAGGAGCCAGTGGAACGGGCTTCCCGGGGAACGTCAACTTGCCTGCCTCCAGCCACTGACCAGGAGGAATCAGGAACAGGTGAGGTAGAGCTAAGTGGAACAAGAATGCTGCGGATGGGCAGGGCTAGTTGGGGAAGGCTTTGAGACTTAGTCCTCCCCCCGCTAATCATCTTTGTTTCTCCTCAGGGACCGAGCTCCAGCCCCGTTTCCAGCGTACCTCCCCCTTGCGCCACTCTATGCCGGAGCTGGGGATGCCCTCTTCCAAAACCTCCGACTGGAGCAGCAGTTCCACTTCCAAAATTCAAGCCTCTGCCCGGCCACGGCTCAGCGACGGCAGAGAGCCTGGAACTTTTGCTCGGGGAGGAATACCTCGGGTTAGCTTCCGGGAACCTTTAATCTCGGGAGAGCCAGGCACCCCTTGCCCTGAGCAAGCCTCCTTGGAGGCCCCGATGGCGCAGAAGGGGGGAGCCATCCGGGGACACCCTCGCTCCACTTCAGACAACTCGCTCAACCTGGGGAGCCAAGACTGGAGGCCAAGGAAGGGGAGGGGGGAAAAGAGGGGAGCCAGCCTCTCCTATTCAGCTTCAGAGAGTGCTTTTCCTGCCTGGCACCGGCGCTATCCACCCCGGGGATGGGACTTCAGCTCCTCCGAGTCTTCCGATTCATCCTCGGAGGAAGAAGGCTACTTTCTAGGGGAGCCCATACCCCTGCCGCCCCATTTGTGTGGCGGAGCCAGTTCCCCAGAGGTCACGCCGCCCAGTGAATCAACTCGCAAACGGCAGCGCCGAAGACTGCGGGTCGTCCGGGACAAGAACTGTGTGGTGGCCTGAGCGGTCCTGGCTTTTGCTATTGCAGTCCAGCCGTAGTCGGGCTTTAGAATGGTGAAACGTTGATCATTCTCTCTGGGGGCCTCTGCAGCTGTAGGCCATTGTTTCTTCCTCCTTGACCTGTGCCTCTTAGCCAAGGATTCTCCTCGGAAAGTGACCTCGATCATCATGACCGCTGTTTCTGTTGAAACCTTTCCTCAGGGAGATTTGTTGTTTTTTCCCCCACGCTGACCTCTGATCTTTAGACGTGACCCTTGTGTGAAGAATCTGGAAGTGTCTCTCTCTCTCTCTCTCTCTCTGTGGTGCTCTTTGAACTGTGTTAGTTTATTTTCCATGGTGGCCTTTTGACCTCTCAACTGTGAGCTCCTGAACACAGCTTTAACTTTGTCCTCTGGAAAGTTCAAATCCTGTAAACCTCTGCTCTGCGCCCCCGCCAGCGAGCTTCAAGCAGCAGCCATTTACCTTGGGAACCCTTGCACTTCTGTTTTGACCTTTTTACTGTGACCTCCGAATATTTGCACCATTCCTGGGTGATCCTTTTGGCCCTTGATCCTTCGGGTTGCTATTACTAATATAAGTGTCTAGCAAAGTAGTAGTTTCAAGCTTTGGGAATTCTCTTCCTTTGGTAGCAAGGTGTTTGGTGGTGATGTGCGTGTGATTGTGTGTGCACACTGAGTGAGGCTAGCCCAGGGGTGTCCAACCTTGGCAACTTTAAGACTTGTGGACTTCAACTCCCAGAGTTCCTCAGCCAGCAAAGCTGGCTGAGGAACTCTGGGAGTTGAAGTCCACAGGTCTTAAAGTTGCCAAGGTTGGACACCCCTGGGCTAGCC